TTCAAGTGAGTTCTGTTGGGTTGCCCTCAATATGTACTACCCTGGACCAACATAACTAGGTCGTAAAAGTCAAGAACTACATTTTTCTGTGGTAGACATCTTGGGGGGGGGGGTCTCCACCAACTTGGTGGGCCTTAATTTCATACAATTACTAGTAGAGACATTTGTGTTGCCCCTTTCAGAGTATTCACAGTGCTTTAGAATAACTCAGGGCTTTCCTTTCTCTGCTGGACAGTCCTTGACTTATTTGGGACCTATGAGGTGTTTTTATGTAGTACCTCTCAGAATGGAACCAAGAAATTGTGTCTCCGATTTCCACTAAAAGAACTGTGTAACTATGCAGCTTCTTCCCCACAAGATCCTGCAATTGCTTGGGTGGTCCCAGCCTTGCACAAGCTTCTTGGAACTGCTGTTTGTTTCTCTAACATGTCAATCATGCCATCATCCCTCTGCCTCTTTTCTGCTTCAGCGACTTCTCTGCATCCTTAAGTAGCAGCATAAGCAAGGCTTTGGGATCCTGCAGGTCCTTCATTTCACACTCTTTTTAAGGGCTCTCTTCTGAGTGTTGCAGAGTAGTTACAGCACACTCATCTTTTTCAGTTGCTGTTGCTGGGTTCCTACTGTGGGAAATGCTCCCAAAGAGGAAGGAAGATCTTGCTTGGTGTTAAAAAAAAATAAATCAGACACAGCTCAAGCTTCAGCCTTGAAAATTTGACCCTTTTTGGTTTTAGATACTCGGTTGTATCTTAGCCTTAATAACAGGCTTACCACTCTGCTTGTGATTTGAGTGCCAAAGCAGGACAGTAGCAGTAAAAGGGAAAATGGAGATAAAAAGATGTACTGCTTCCAAGTACAGAGACAGAGCTAACTACTAACTTGCCAAACTGATAAAGCGGCAATGAAGGCCTGAATGGCAGATAGTGTCACCCTGCTAAAGTGTAAGAAGTACAGACAATAGTAAAACATTGTATGTTACTGTCAGAAAGGATGTTTTAACTGATATCTTAATAATGGCATGGAAGAGTTAATCCTGTTTGTTGGAAGCATTTTTGTGCAATTTCTGGTAGAACAGCAAAGGAGTCAATTCCCTATGCTAAAATAGTAACTGTTTAATTCAGTGTGACTGTTTAATTCAAAACCAGAAACAGCAAAAGCTGATTGTTACCTTAAATTTAATAATAATTAATTGTGGGACAGCAAATTGTTATTAAGCTCAACTGCAATTTCAGAGTTTCTCTCAACCCTGTCTCCTTGCTTTGTCCTTCTCAGTCAATCCCTTTACTTTATAAAAAGCCCAACTGCATCCTAAATCCATTTTAAACTCTTGCCTTTTATTGCCTTGGCAGTTTACGATATAGCTCTTTTGTTCACTTCATCCCCCAAATTAAATTTCCTATGGACCAGATCCTCAGCCAGTCTAAGCTGGCATAGCTCTATCAACAACCACCACCCTGCTGATCCAGATGATCGAGCCCCCTCCTATTAATCATTGGTCCTTTCCCCTATCCCCCAGGCAGATTGCTTGCATGGTGTTGGCAGGGTTCCTGTATCATCTGTTCATTCACTAATGAACACTATTCAGCATTTATTGGGCCAGTCTGGCTCTCTGTGCATTCAGCAGCAAAGCTGCTATTGATTGCATGATGGGGAAGCAGAATCAAGCCATGTAAAGTCACGTTACTTTGTATTCTGAGCGCTCTGTGCAAACTACAATGCAGTTAATTCACTAATGGTTTATATTCATCTTGCTTGTGTCATAGTGAAGAGAAAATATTTCTACACTGTCGGGGGGCAGGGGGGGAGTGGTTCGCATGGTTGTTTTTCAGGGGATTTGAGTCACGTCACAAAAGGCAAATTTTGGGCTTTGCTCCAGCAAGGACACACCTTAGTAACCATGAGGCACATTGCCAAAGACCTCCCTGTTAAGGGAGGTAAGATTATACAGCCTGTGTTGCCTGATTACTTGTATCAAATAAAATTGCCAGATAAGAATAGTATGAAGGACAAAATATTTTCAGGAGAAAGAGTGAATATCATCTCACTTACACCAGGTTACACCATCTACACTCTTACTTGCCATGAAGAAGAAAGCTGCACCAGGTCCATTACATTTGTAACGAAATGCTACTCTAAAAGGGTAACCAAAGTGTTAAGATAAACCATATATGCTTTAAAGAACAGAATTGAATGATTGACATAATTGGATCTAAATCAACTTTAAGACTTAAAATTTTGAAGAGTATTACGGTGGACTATAATGCTTTCTAAAGTCTCTCCTAGTATTTTGTCACTGACAGCAGGCATTAAAATAACACGGAGAAGCTTTAAAAAAATGTAAGGGTGCTCGGCATTTTGAAGTTTATGTTTTGGTTCAGTTTTTAATTGGTGTTGCTTTTACCTAGCAAGAAAAATGTATTCTTCACAGGATTTAAAACATATTGAACGTTAAAAAGTCTTTATTAAAATATTTTCATTATGTCACTATTTGCAAATTTGGAAAGGTTCTGAAAAATTTGCAAAGCTCATCCATGCAATTTTTAAGGAGTGTATTACCTTAAATTAATTCATTATCTGTAGTTATTTTAAGGAGATGATTTTAAAAGTGGTTTAAAGAGTTTATTCTTAAGTATTGCAGTTTAAAAGACAGTAGTTACACTACAGTGTAACAAAATGCATAATTACAGATGAAACTGACAGCAAAAGAATGGCATACATAAATACAGATACAAGCAAATATGCCAATCTCATTATTACTGATATGTAAATACCCACCATGGAAACACAACCTGAGCTTTATTTGTTATTATTGTCTAAAAAGAGAAAAGCATTAAAAAGTCAAGGAAGTGGTGTGTGGTGCCTTATTTCCTCCCCAGCCAAATTACTTCTCCCTGAAATATGCATGATAAAAATGTTCATTTTCCTTGACTCACATTTTGGAGCACAACTTGGTTCTGTTTCCACTGTAAGAACAGTCTTACAGATTTAACATCCATACTTGCCATATAGGCTTTTAATCCTGTGAAGATTTAAGTTCAAGGCTAGCTTAATGCACAGAGTAGCCCTAGTTACTTCAGTATGTGTTTTCTGCATGTGGAACATCAATGAAACAGAGCCCTTGTTTTCACAGTCATTATTTTTGAGTAACCATTGCTTTCTGTTTTGACAAAACTACTTTTTACTATAGCTGCAGTTCCCTGAATACCAATATTTTTATCCAAATGTATTTGTAGCCTTGATGTGGCTTCTTAATACAAGTAAATTGAATTTAAATACAATACCATTCCAGCTAAGAATCTTTGGGGAATTTCTGGCACATGGGCCAGGGGACCTGTGACCTCTGCATAGGCCAGGGACTTTTTCCCAGGCAGCCCACGACTCCACCAAGCTTCCCCTCAAAAGCCCACTGTCATCCTCTTCTCCCCTGTGATAACTTTACATTCTTTCAGCATCTCATCCCACCCTGCAGTGCTCCACACCATGCTGTCCCATCTGCTGCCTAAGTTTCATGTCATTCTGTGCTGTAGCCCCTTTGCCCTCTATTGCTCACCTTCCCCTTCTCTTGCCTGGCTGAAACAGAAGAGGAGCTCGGTGTGGAGCAGCACTGGGTGACTTGGTGGCTTTGCACAGGGATGACACGCTGCTTTGGATCTGCAAGTGAGGCTGAAGGACCTGCACGTGCAGAGCACTGCTGAGGCTAGGTGAGGAGAAAGCACTGCATGACAGAGAGGTAGTTAATGAACAGCTTAGAAAAAGTATTTAGAATTCTCACTAGACCCTCAGTAAAGACAAAAATATTCAGACTCCTCCATGAGTAAATTTCAGCCCCAGACATGTCTAACTGTATGGGTATTTCTTACAGATGTTCCACAAAAAGCATCTGTCAGCTCCTGTGGCAGCTTCAATAATCCAAAGGGCTGCACAGTTAGGATCCCAGCAGTATTGAATTCTTTTACTTCACACTGTTCCCTGGCATTTGTCAATTGAAAAGCTTTTAGCTTAGTTTATTTCAGAGCAAACATTTCCCTTTGTCCCCCCAAACATGTTACTTCTTGGATCTGAAGGGCCAGAGATACTGCAGAGCAGAAGGCTGTAATCACAGCACCAGGAGGCGAGGAGCCAGCCTCAGGCATCCCTCTGCACCCACTGTTAGTGTGATATGCTTTCTGCCTGCCAGGTGAAGCACTTGATTCCTCACCTTACAGAATCAAGACTTAAACTTTGAAGGATGAAAGTTTGATGCCCTGCTATGACAAGGACAGTTTTTGCTACAGCATGTGGAGCCCAAGCATCCTGAAACCGATAAAGGAGCATCTCTGGTACTAGCAAACAGAACTGCTGAGGAGCCTCTGGTTTGCTGTGTTTTTCTAAGATGTAGAATGGAAAAAAAATACTTTCCCCACTTAGACTTCCTCTACTAACCTTTATACTTGAGGTTCTCCAGAAGTAGTGGGTTTTCTAAATTACAAAGGAATAAGCTGCCTGTATTGATGATTGTGCATATAGTAAGTTACTTTGAATACAACAAAAGCTTATGTAATGTGAGCCTTAAATGCTTTAAGACATACTCTGACCCCATCAAATAATGGGGCATGATTCCACCAGGTGGTGGAAACAACAGCAATCCATTGTCTTACAGGAGCTAAACTCGTTTCCTCAACTAAGAATCTATTCCACTGACCTTCAGCTCTTACATCACAAAACACTTCGTATGCATTCGCTTCTCTGTAATATGAGTTGTATTTTCTTGGCTTTTGAAAGTAACAAAGAAGCAGAGAGAATAGGGTCTTTTGAACACCTTTTTCACATGTTCACATGCTGCCTTTAATCACATTTGCAGGAAGATGTCAGCCTTTCAAGTACAGTTCTAAGGATGTCAGTGGTGCCGTGAGATCAGGTCTCTGTCCTGCCAAAGGCCAAGTGACTGTCTTAGCCTGTCACAATACTTAATCAGGAAATTATTTTTATTATGGAAACTACTTTCTTTGGCTTTTCTGCTTTAGGCTCTTCAGACATACCAGACTGATCCTGCCATGAGAAAGATGCTAACTCAGCTGTATTTCTATATCATGCCTGTATTTAATGTGGATGGATATCATTTTAGCTGGACAAATGTAAGTAGTATCAGTAATATTACTCAAAAAATTGTTCAGACAGGAAAGATCAAATGGTTGTTACATCATTCAAACATGAATTTCTGTATAATCTGGTCCATCACTTTGTGGCATGCAAAACGGAAGTAAATTACTGCAGTTAAAATATAATACTGAATATGTTTACCAGGGTTGGTTTGTTATGTGTACAAATAGATTTTTGCCAAAATGTAGTAATACTGCTATTTCTATTTTATAACTTATGTTAGGATCGATTTTGGAGAAAAACAAGATCAAAGAACACAAGGTTTCCCTGTCATGGTGTTGATGCTAATCGCAACTGGAAAGTGAAATGGTGCGGTAAGTCTGGAGGTGCTTTGGTCCACCAGTTCAGATTACCCTGTATTTAATTATCCAACAGACTAAGTAGGTTAGGTCACATCCATTGTGAAGTGTTCTCTTTTCCATGGTTAAAGTTGAAGCTACTTTCCCATAAAGCCACAAGCCAAGGCTCAAATCTTTCTTATAGCTTCTAAAAAAACAGAAGTCCTGAACTTTGGAAAAACACATCTCATCGCAAGTAAAAAGTCATGGTGAGTGTGGCAAAAGTAAAAAACACGTATACAGCTATTCTGTATTTGTGCAATCATGTAAATAATTTGAAGCACAGCATTGAGCCTGGCCCATCACATTTCATAATTTACCTGACTACAGCTTTAGGAAATATTTCAAACTTCATTTTATTTAATTCATCAATTCTCTGAAATGGCTTTAGCTTAGGAAATGTCAGACTTGCTTTACTGGCCTCACAGAGAATGTCTGAGAATATTTTAAGGCCATTATTATTAGTGATTTAATAAAGAAAGAAGGTGCTTCTAAATGCATGGAGATCCAGTTTAAAACTCCCAGCACTTCTGTAAATACTTCCATAAAAATTTACCTCAGTTTTGCATAGAGAATGCAGCAGTAATGAAATACTAGCAGAAAATTTGGAATGGGTCCACTGAAGGAGAAATGGTATTATATTAAATCTTACAGCAAGTCATACAGGAGTAAGCATCTGTACAAGTTCTGGTGCAGCAGAAAATAATAGCACTCTGTTGTGAAATACAGCAATATATAACTGGTTCTTCTGCTGGCCTGCCTTTCCATCTTGAGCAACTTCCTTCACCTCTGTGTACAGCTGTTTTCTCCTCCAGCATTCCTTATTTACATTATAAACTTGTAAAGACAGAAACTGTGTTTGCATAGTGCTAGTGCAACAGCCCTCCCTTCAGCCTGTCCCTCTTCCACTGGAACTCTCTAGGTGTTTCAAGCACTGTACAGTCTGTCTTGCAGCGACTGGATTCTTTAAGTAGATTTTTGAGAACTGTGAGGATAAAAGTGAGTGCAAATAATCTGCCTGGGGAGATTACAAATGAGGTGAGAGTGAACAGAAGCATGCATTCAATACAGTATGGACCTGTGAAATATGCTTCCAATTTTTTTTGACTCTACTTGCAGTAAGAAGGGAGCTGAAACAGAGGCAGTTACAGAAAGCCTGTGTTAGCTGAGAATCCCTCCACTACAGAAGACAGTCCCATGGCTGCTATCACGATCTTTAAGGCAAAAATAATGTAGAAATGAACCAAAAAGTCCTGCATCACAGTTACCATCTTTTACTTAAGTACCTAAGTCACAACTGCAGGTATTTGGGGGACATACATTTACTGTTCAGAAGATAGACAGCCACTGGCATAGTTAGAATGAACGGTCTTCAGAGCCATATTATAGGTACCTATCAGTGCAACGTTAATACTCACACAGTGCATTTTCTTTCTGTGCCTAATTCATCTTTCTTGGGTTCAAATCACTTTGCCTCTCCCTCTTCCTGCTCCCTAGCCACTGTGTTAAAGCATACTTTTTACTCACTCCTGAAAATATTTGCTTAGTTTTCAGTAAAAAACATTTTTTCTAGGCTGAGTGAAACTATAACATGACACACACGCATTGCATGTTGTAGTCCACTACTTGTTGCATTTCTGCCCTCCACTGAACATGAAAGACAGATCCTCACCCCGAGTTTAAAAAATAAAAATTCCTTCAAAGTTGCTCATCATCCCACCAAGCACATGCTCTGCTTCCCTCACAGGACCCCAAACTCTGTCTGATTCTCTATTTTGCCAGAGAATAAAGAGCTCTTTCATGAACTGGGCTGACTGGTGCTCAGAAGATCCTCACCCAGCACCCTATGTTCTCATTAATCTGACACTAAATGAGGCAGAGAAGAATCTGGATCATATCACACTTTGAGGCTTGATAATCTTGGGGTGTTTAACATTTAATACTGCATATGCTTTTAAAAACCTTTTAATTCAGTTGTGTTGCACTTGCAGTTTGCAGACAGGCTTGAACTTCACTGTGGGGCTTCCAGGCAGGTGAGTTGTGGCAGAATCCAGCCCCAGCAGAGCCACTGAATGCTAGCTGCAGTGAGCTCTTTGGTAAAGATAACACAGCATCTCTTCTGCTTTCCTCTTCCCTTCTGGTGTAGGACTTTGATGTAAGCTTTATGATGTTGCTTCTGTATTCTCTAGGGACCAAGAAAAGGGCCATATCACTGGTTGTGGTAGATTTTACTCTGCAGCACCCTGTACCCAAAATAGTGCACAGAAATTGCACACAGACCCAGGTGAATACTGACAGCAAGATCTCTGAGTAGAAATGCTCCTTGCAGTATATACGTATGTGCAATAACTAGCACAATGGTTTAATGTTCATGAAATAAACAGCAATTTTAAAGCCAATAATGAGGTACTTACTTAGAACTAAATCATGTCATAGGGCAAATCCAGTTAAAGCGGTTGCATCCAAAGCCCCCAAGAGAGCAGCAGTGGGAGTTAAAATTTCCAGTGCATCCCATTTTCCAGTGCACCCCATTGCTCACTGAGGACAGTACCCCACACTGGCAGAAGAAGTGGCTGCAAGGAATTTTGAGAACCATGCTCCAGCTCATCCATCCTCCCAGTCTTTCTTCCATACCAAAGCATTGGTTTTATCAGTCTCTGCACACGTTTCCTTTGTACATTTGATCTCATGGTAGATGTTGGAGGATATTTGTCCTCCCCTGGTATGCTATCAGGTACAAAAATAAGGCAGCATGGTAACATTTTATGCAATTGCATTTTCTTCTCATGACTGTAACTCAGAAATTTCACAGGAGTTGATACGTACTGTATCATTTTTTTCTTTCTTGTGTTACTTCAAAAGAACTTCCAGTAGGAAAATTGAGGCTATCCTTACGTTATCCAAGGCCACCAAACCCTCTCTTTTTACTACCAGCCAGCTTCAGTTAAGGAAAGGCATTAACTACAGCTGGGATTGCAAATGGCTCACGATAGAAGGCTGGACAGTTTAGAGAGTTTTTTTCTTCACTGAAAGTCACTAAACTGAGTCATATTTTACCATTGAGTTATGTTACCATTCATTAGCTTGTAGGATTCTGCCATTCATTAACTGTGATGTCTGTTTTCATGATTCAGTATACTACACTGCTACAGGAGATGAAGTATCCATAAAAAAAAGCAAAGGTGCCGGAGGCTCTGTTAAATAGCTCTCCTTTAGCTATATTATCTGACAAGACATCGAGGCAGAGTGCTCTTGGGATTTGGATGACTTGGTGGCCATCTGTTCTGCAGGGAGGAGACCATCTGCCCTCTATGTAACCTTTCCATATCCACTGCAATCTAAGCACTAATACCTTTTGAAATCCCCACCTGTGGCCATTGAATGGTAGCCTCAATTTTCATATTACAAATGAAGCTGCAGCATGAAATTCTTCCACTTTTTGATTGCATAACCCTGTTTTAGTTCATAATATTATGCCTTCTCACACACTGCTCTTTTCTTATTATTTGAAGATGGCAGTACTTACTATACAAAGGAAAGCTAATGAAACACTGTTTCTGTAAGTCCCTGATGACACCAGGGAATGTCACAACAAAACTATTATTATTCTGTGGGTCAGTGTAAAACATGTGGCATTTTGAAATCCCAGTGGATAAAAGAGCAGAGTGGATTTGCATAAATATTGTTCTTTTAGGCTCAGGCCTTAAGCTGTAAATGAGATGGTGGCTTGATGAGATCCAGAATTGCTAGATGATAAAGGAGCCACTGCCACGTCTCCTTTTCTGAGTTTCATCTTTCAGTACCTCATGGGATGTTACAAGCAGGCTACACTTCTGCAGCTTACTGCCACCTCAGCAGGTTGACATGATGAAAGATATCCTCGCAACTGAACCCCTGCCCCAAACTTGAAGGAAAATTAAGCCCTGTGCAAACTGAGATGAATTGTATTTTAGTTAATTGAGCAATCATCCCATGTGGCTTCTCATTTTTTTCCTGGAAGGTTTGCAAGAGTAAAAATAGGCAGTAGTCAGGAACTATTCCCATGTTTTAAGCCAGACTCTTAAGATAATCATAGAATTGTTTAGGTTGGAAAAGACCTTTAAGATCATCGAGTCCAATTGTAACCCAACACCACCATGCCCACTAAACCAATAATGCCTGTTGAGGTTATCTACCTACCATTGTAACCACCTCTGTAGTAGCAAGTATGTTAAACTGCTCTTAAAGGCTAGATTTGTCTTGGCAGTGGCGAGTGAAAGAGGTATAGCTCTCTGATTTCAAATTGACCAGTTGAGACCCTTCAATAGTTTTAATACTGGAATGCTATCATAAAATGTGCAACTCGTATGGAAAGCCAGGGAAGAAAATACAATAAAGTCAGGCTCTTCTTTTTCTGTTGCGTTAAAAATATGTCCTCTGGGGAGAACTGCATGTAGTTGGCCAATTGGCAGTTTGGTGTGTCTACTAGATGAACAAGCAGATTGCTGTACTGAGGTCCCACTGGCTTATGCCCATCAGTCACAAGAAAGCAATTTGTTTATTGCTTTTCACACTTTTGCACACAGACCCACACAGGCTGAGCCAGAAGTTGACCCTTGGAAATTCTCTGTGCTCGTTCACCATCAACTTTCTCTTTCAATCCCTAGATGAAGGTGCTTCATTTCACCCCTGCGATGACACCTACTGTGGTCCCTTTCCTGAGTCTGAGCCTGAAGTAAAGGCAGTTGCTCATTTTCTCCGCAAACATCGGAAACAAATAAAAGCCTATTTGTCCTTCCATGCATATGCGCAGATGCTGCTGTACCCTTATTCTTACAAATATGCAACTATTCCAAACTTCAGCTGCGTGGTAAGTACATTAAAACTTGGGAAAACTTCTTCCCTACGTAATATTTTTTGGTACATTTTGTTTTGAGAGGAGACTTGTTTCTTCAGTACTTTGCACATATTTAATATTGAGTGGTATTTATTCTGGATCTGCTTGGAATTGCATTTCTGGTTATATAACCTTCACTCAAAGTGAGTCAGTGGCAGTTTGATTAAAATGGTATAGTGCCTTCCATCCATCAGTCCCTTTAAATTACTTTATAGGATAAATCCCTGGGTTCTAATTATAGTTATTATCATTTTCTTGAATTAACTGTAATGGGAATTACGTAGTTAAGTCCTTGGGCATCTAGCTGAAATTCTGTCCCTTCATGCTCAGAACTTAAACACTAGGAGCACAAAGAAGATCATCCTCAATGTTGTGAACAAAATAAAATTGAAATGGTTTATCTTTATCAATTAGAGGAGAAATCTCATAGATTTCACCAAAAGTAAAGCTTCGATAGCTTTATGTATCATCCTGCTCAGACATAGTGTTCTTAATACTTTAAGACAAGCAGTTAATTAACATCAGTGGCTTTTGTCTATTAGAAGAATACATTAATAAGACGACTTTTTTTTATGCAAGCCTATCAATTTACAGATATGTACATTTCACATATTCCATGCTCATCCAAATGCAGAAGAACTACCCCCTCTGCTCACAGTCTGAGGTCTGTTTTTAGCCAGTCTCCTGTACATAAAACCCTCCCTATGGCTTATTCTCTTAGGGAAACGTGGCTAAGCTTTACTTTGCTCCTGCTCACAGACACACATTATACCAACCAGTTGCAAGCCTGTTTCTTTTGCCCTTAGTCCCCAGTAAACTTTACATTGTCCATATATCTCCCATTTTGGCCTTGAAATTTGCAGTGACTTTTAACTTACCAGTTTAAGCTAGTTCACTTCAAAGGAGCTTCACTGCACCTTAGATTTATGCTGTGCAGAATAAATGATGTTGTCAGTCCCTGGAGCTTTGCTGAAGTTTCACTAAGCTGCCCTCCCAGGAGGCTGAGCAGCCAGCACTCCACAAACTAAACTCTTTGTGGGTTTATTTCTGTTAAGACACTTAATTCAGCAGCTACTAAAAATTCTCCTGTCTGATGTCATTCCTGGGAAACAGAGCAAATTAGAAGCTAACTAAGCAGCCAGAGGAGCTGAAAACATGAGACTTGTGGGGACTGACCACCCAGCCCTGCACTGACTGTGAATAAATCCATGAATCTTCTTTTTATTCTACCTTCTCCACCCTCTTTTGGGAAGTGGCAAAGAGAAAGAAGCTCCCCAAGTGAATTGGTGGCTATTACTTACCAAAAAATATAGACTGGGAATTTAAAACCACAGTATCTCATTCCTTTGAAGGCCAGCAGGTGCAAGAATATTTTCTGAAGAACAGACAACACAGCAGAAGGTAAAGACGTGGTGTTAGGAAGAATCAGCATCTCCTCTGCAAGTAGATGATTACTGGGTATCTGATGAAAATATCCGGAGTAACGTAAGGCAATAGCAGACGCTGTGTCAGGAAATTCATTGTAAGGAAAAGGAGTCTCTAACTGAGAGTTTTCACACATACCAGTGAATCTTCAGTACATGTTGTTCTTGCTGCTCAAGGGCGATTTCTGTTCTGAGACGGGGAGTAACTGCCCCTGAGCACACACACTCTGTCTTTCCATCCACAGCTTTTAGACCAAAGGAACCCAGTTTTTGATGTGTAGTAGGTGTTTCCCAGGTTTGTGAGACCTTGCATCAGGCTTTTCATCAGAGGGAGTAGAGCACAGTCCTAAAGGCACAAAGAAAGACACTGTTTTAGACAACAGCCCTGGACAAATGGAAGCCAAATGCCAGTTCTAAATATTTTGCTAGTATTTGGACTCTATACTTCTTTTTATTGCAGTGAGTCAAAAAGAACAGGGAGGTTAGCATAAGAAACTGAAGTAATTTCCTGTTATTTAGAAAACTCGTTATGGGGATCACAGAGAAAATGAATGGAATACTGTTGCTTATTTATTTGTGTGTTTTAATATTTGCCTACAGCCAAAGGCTCCATCACCTGGTGCCTCCTAAATGAATAGTCTTTAATATTTGAAGTGTCGAAAATGGTGACTGAGGCTGAGGTTTCAGATTCTGCAGTTCTTTCAGAAATTACAGTGAGCTGGAAGGTGGCAGATCTCTGCTTCCTGCTGCTGATGGAACAAGCTTTGTTGGTCTCCATGAACTGTGTACAGTGGACAACTGTAGGACTCCACGCACCTAGTAGATAAATAACATTTGGTGCTAACAGGGGTCCACAATTAATCCTGAGCAGAAGAAAGGATGTTTCTGTCTGGGTCGTATCATTCTAGTGAGCTGTCAGTTACCACTTTGATTAGTGTTCAATTATTCAGAGTTGCTTTGAAACTGGAGAGCTGTGTACTGATCACAACATGCATATTCTGTTCTAATTTAGGCACAACTCTCTTATTAACAGTCTCCTGAAATCTGTTCTTTTAAGATACTTAAAACGAAAGTGCGCTTTTAGATTGAAAAAAAAACCAGCAGAAACATTCATCCATCTCCAGAGTTTAAATTCCACCTACTTTTCATCCCCTTTCTTCCTATACAGTCATTTGCCTTAGCGTTTGTAGTGAATTTATATGGCATGACTAAGTTTGTGTATGTCTTTATAAAAATCTGGTAATTTTATGTGAAGCTTTCTCCTTGAGGGTGTTCAAAGGCTGGTTGCCTGGATTTATTCAGGATCCAACCTGTGCAGTATGATGCGGTTGAGAACTGTCCCCTTCTTTGAGCACATAACTCCAACAGTGAAAGCAAGCAGCACCCCTCAAGGCTAAGAGCATCACGTTCACAGTGCCCAGGAATGCCTGCCTACATGGTGGACATGGACTTGGGTCACTCCCGCTCTGGCCTCCAAAAGGTTGCTGCCTCTGCACAGAACCCAGTACTGTTGTGCTGGTTTTACATGGGCATTGCCAAACTATTTCTTCAGAAGAATTTCAACAGGGCTTGCTTCTGTTATCTCATTGCTGTACAATGCGTAAGTCATGCACAGGGAGTCTTCTCCTTTGTGGCTGTTCTCCTTTCCATCACGCGTTTACCAGGACATTGCTCTCCACCCATCTCAGCTCCCTCGGCTGAGCCCTGCCTCTCACTCCCTTGGCGTCAGGCCTGTTGTCAGGCCGTCCCAGCTCCGCACCACAGCCCTGCGACGGTAGGCACAGCTGCTTGCCAAATTTCTGTTGAGCAACTGAGCCTGGTACTTGGGGCTTCAGTGCAGGCACCGGACAACAGCCCCAGGCTGCAGCTGGAGCTTCCCACTCCCCGGAGCCCTGCAAGGCCCCACTGCCACCGCCGTGGCCTTGCATTGCCACCCCGCCGCCCTCACGGCGTCCAACACCTCTGACCCCATCATGGGTCTTGTGTGTCGTGACTCACAGAAGTTGAGGCATCTGTAAGAGGAGGAAGAGTCCCAAGTGACAGCCCTTCCCCCTTCCTCGGACCTCCTCCCACCTCCTCATCTTTGGTGTTAGGGTGAGTCAGAGGTTACCCCTCACACCGGCTGGCGACCACGTCCCAAGCCGGCAGAAGTTCCCGGCAGCATTGACCTCAGCAGTCCCTGGCTCCACGCACTCTCTCGTGGAGGTGGCAAGAGGAAGAGAAGGGGCAAGCTGAAAATGTCAGTCTCCAGCACTGTCATCCCTGTGCTGAGAAACAAACAGACAAAAAATCTAGTTCTGCCTAATACCTTTTAATAATGGCATAAAAAAGTGCTCTTTCATTTGCTAGGAGCAGTTCTCAGCATAAAATAAACTCTCCAAAGCCCTACCTGCTGGCCACTAAGTGAAAATAAACTTTTTTTTTTTTTTCTGGAATGACGTTTTAAAACGATTTTCTCTGGCTTATCTACTCGGGCGGACAAAGACCCTCAGCAGGAATGCCTGCACAGGTCAGACCAAGGATTAAGCCAGAATCCCAATTCCTGACAATGGCAAAAAAGTAGAAGGTTAGGGAAAATGTATGAACGGAAAGGCAAGTATAGAGTAATCCCTCCCCAGTGCATTCATCTAGTGCCTCATGAATAACAAGGTATGGACCAAGTTCATGAAGACTTGCATAAACTGAAACCTACATCTCTTCAGTTCATAGAAATAAAACAACCATAGCAGCTTTACCCAGTGGTTCACAGTCCAGCAATTTCTAGCTCCAAAGATGTTCATTTCCTGCTCTCTACAGGGAGATGGCTCTCTGTTTTCCTAGATGTTCCCGGCCTTCACTGTACATTCTCCAGGATCCTTTTCTGTGGGATTATAATATTCCTTTTTCTTTTGAATATGTGCATCCTGTCTCTGTGTTCAGATGCACTATCCACGTGTGACCCTCAGAACTTGCCATGGGCCAGGCCTTCTGCACCCAGTTTCACAGGATGCCATGAACCTCCTAAACAGACTGCATCCATATTGGTGTTGAAATGTAGGTGCTGATTTTCCCCATACAGTACTGAAATCACATTTCTGCAATAGTGGAAAGAGTTCTCCAAGCCTAACTGGAGAAAGTTAGACCAGCAGTGAACATTCACCTGTCTGTCAGAGATTCAGGAGTGAAATTTGCCTCCTTCCTTCTTCCCACTCTGCTCACTGAACCACTATGGAGTGCCACCAAGAGATCATTTCTCCTTCACAAGCCCAGCAGAGATGAGGTTTAGTGGGCTGGGAAATGCATCCACAGGTACTGGCAGAAAATGCATGCATGGCTTTTAAACTGCATAAAAAAGAGATTATCTCATCTCATGGTCTCACATGTTGCCTAAATTTGTTGTGTCACTAAATTGGTATATATACCTATAATTACAAATACTTAATGGCTGATCGCAGTGCAGTGAGCTTCTTTATGCCATGAAAATACCAAACCAAGTTTTTCAGGGAATTAGGGAATTGCTGTCAATAAAAATAAATAATGCATTTATCCTTTAAAATAAATTTAAATTAGCTGCCATGGACTCATGGAACACAGCATTACGCTGGAAGTTAATGATCCATAGCTCAGGTTCCAATCATATTACAGTATTTAATTCAAAGTCTAATTTATATATTTGTTTTTCTTCCCCGCACAGGAATCAGCAGCCTATAATGCTGTTAACGCTCTTCAGTCAGCCTATGGTATAAGATACAGATACGGTCCTGCATCTAGCACTTTGTGTAAGTTTTCCTCTGGCACAGGTTTGTGACTTTGACCTACCTATAGTGAGGAGATTACCCTTATTATAACAAAGAAAGCAAACAGTGTTTAAAGTGAACTTTGTTCCAGGTGTGGATGGTGAGGAAGGCGGAAGATAAAGTTTTGTGACTGATTCAGTTAGTTGATTGCAGTAAGATTAACTCGATGCAATAAAAGAGATTAAAATGCAATGCATTTGAGAGGCGAAAGCCAGCAAATAACATGTTCAGAACATATAAAAACAGATTTAAAAAAAAAAAAAGAAAGATAAAACAAGATCTTAAAAAGCATATCTTTATCAGGCACTTTAAATGCACTAGTAAGTTATAAAATATTTGGGAGGAAATAATTCAAACTATGTTTCGTTTTTCACCATTACTTCGCCTCTCCTTCTTTGCAATTGTGGTCATCACCTAAAATTTAGGGTGATGTCTTTAAAAACTAGGTTTCAAATGTCTCTGTGTCTAGATGATGATAAATGATAGCAACAGTATCTTTATTTGGACATCTTCCATTTTTCAGAGGGAAATTTCAAATGCATTTTTCCCTATAACAAAATATCTTTAAAATACGCCTTTTAAATAGGGAACAACATTTGTCAGGCAAGCTCTCCATGTAGACAGGTAAGAGAAAAAGAAGTTCAATAGTTTTCAATGAGACACTTTTTTTTTACTGAAACTATGAGGCCTGAATGCTCTTGGTAATGATAACAGGCATTGAAAAAGTGAGAGGCTTAAGTAAATAGTAAGATTTTTCACAAGAAACCTCCTGCATCTCCTCTGCTGTTGCTGTGTTTTGGCTAGAGCTCCACTTTATTGTGGGCCTCCATCTCACAGCACAGTCGTCATCTTGTGCTCATTACAGTGCAGTCACTCACTATGTCAAAGGAAGAGCAGTGTAAGTTAATGCCAGAATTGCACAGAAGACAGCAGGCCACATGAGAGATGGATCTTTATATAAATATAAGTGTCTTGGGTAATCAACATATGGAGATAACGAAAGCATAAGAAGCACACTTCCTCGGGAAGGTTTGTTAATATTAGACACCACCTATGCAAATGCTCTTATGCTCTAAGGAAATGGTGAGAAAACAAGACAGAAATGAAGAGAAAAGAATTTTAAAAGCACTTTGAAAAGGAGAATGTAGATTACTTTATCAATTTTCTCCCTTCTCCCTGCAAAGGAATTGCCTAAAAAACCCAAGTTAAACCCAGGAGCGTGCAGAGCCCCAGTCCAGCTGAGCGATCTTTGTGGAAGCAAAGCTTTAGACTGCACTCACCTGGGGACAAGAACAGTTTGAAGTTTTATTCTAAATGTTCTCTTTTATTAAAGTTTTGCTTTACACAAAAAAGTCAGTTATTGATTTTTTTCCTGTGAAACTCAAGGGTCTAATTTATATTGTGCTGAGCACCTTTCACCATGCCCTTCTCTGAAGGGTGTTCAGGATCAGGGCAAGCAACAGCTGGAGTTGCAAGTATATTCATTGAGGCCTGGAGACAAAATGCCACAAGAACCCTCTGGTGCTTTCAACGTGACCTGCATTTAACATTTTTTAAAATTTTCTCTGAATTCCCTCTCTCAGATGTGAGTTCTGGTAGCTCTATGGACTGGGCCTACAAAAATGGTATCCCCTACGCATTTGCGTTTGAGCTGCGTGACACCGGCCATTTTGGATTTTTACTTCCCGAGACGCTGATCAAACCAACCTGCACAGAGACCATGCTTGCAGTTAAAAATATAACTCTTCATCTGCTGAAGAAATGTCATTGAGAGCTATTTCTAGGAGCTGGAAGTGAGCGCTTTACTCCCAGTGCTGATGCCTTTCAGTGTATTCAGTTGCCATTCTAAGCTTGGCCACTTCAAAATTATAGAAGCTAATGGGAAATATGGTATTGTTTCTGCCAGACTTACATGGTGGGAAATGGAAAACATAATTTAATATCTGCTCTACAGAAGTCCATAAAGTTGATATACTGACTTAGTTACCAGTTTGGTGTAAAATAGTCTGTTCTTTTTGCAATAAAGCTTTGATACTACAACTTCAGTGGGGCAGGTCCAGGTCCACATACAGGTGCCTGAAATAAAACTCAACTTCCAGACAGTCCCTGGCCTTACTCCTTTCCCTAACAGTAAGACTTCCCTCAGTGGGGTCTCTCGAACCAAGGGATAAAGTTTACATTCATGTATATGTACTCTGTGATCCAACCCAGGTCCATGTCTATAGCACTAAATGGCATACAGTTGCAGCTGGCCATGCTGCAAGCGGCCATGTGGCTTCTTTCTGCACATATACATACTCATGTATATGCATTTTTGTGATTTTTTTTTTCATGTAATGCAATAATTTGACCCAAGGTTTCCTTTAACTGTTCGGAGAAACCTATTTTCAAATATATAAATTGGGGTGGACTCAAAATCAACATATTGCCTTTGAAAATGTAACTTAACTAGAGGTGTGTAAGAATTATAATGAAATATTATTGAGATATACAATACTCTGCTTTATGGAGAGACAAAGCAACTTGCCATGGTTTGGAACTTGGAAGCCGGCAGTTAGCTGGTGCATCTGGGTTCTGCTGCAGTCAGTGTCTGCCCATTGCCACCAGCCAAGGATCTAGCCTTAAACTGTAACTTACTGATGTTAACTGATGTTTTATTTATTGGTATTCTTGCAGTGAATTCTGTAGCTCTATGGCTATGTGGCTGTTCTTCTTGGAAGTTGTACTATTTGCATGTTTTAAAGGAATTAATAATAGATTCTTAAATGAGCCGGATGTGAAAGCAGAAGCTTTGCGGCTGAAATACAGTGAATAAGCACCATGTTTGAAAGAATAATAATGAAAGCACAGAGAATATAACAACTTGTTGAGGGTTTTTTTTACTTTTAAAATACTATTTTTTGATCTTATAATATCTGCAAAAGCATATATTTTACTTTATTAATTTTTACTTTAATCTTATGCCATAACATGTTAAATAAAACATATTTGTTAATAAAATCATCAAAGGCTTTTGAAGTATTCTTCATATTTCATTTAAGTATTAAAGCTTTAGTTCAAGGATGTGACAGTTTTACCTATCTGTAAAACATTACTGACACCAAGGATGCCATATTTTAAAAACCCTACATCCTCTCTAAGAAAGTACTTGAACTTAGCAAATGGACAACCTTTATGAGACTAGGGAGCACTGTATTTAATTAAGAATATCCTTGTCTTCAGAACTGCAAAAGGCAATCAGTGAGCAAAGATGACAGAACTGCATTCTATTTGTTTAACATTTTGTTAATAAAAAGTATTTATTTTAAATAAGGTTTCTGAAAGCTTGTTCAGATTTGATTAGTTCAGACTTGTTTGAGTAATGCAAGTTTCTATTCTGGTTTAGTAAAAATCTAGGGGACAGCAGCTCTCATCCACTAGTCATTTCCAATTGCTTGTGACGATAATCATTAAATATTTTGAAGACAGCAATAACTGTCTTTTGCTATGCACAGATTCTTGACCAACAGTCTCAATAGTGGTGTAAATATTAGCACCAATTGTTGTGAGTTATTCTCAATTTAGGTGACAAGATTGAACTTCTGCAAGGACATTAAGAGACTGAAGTGAAGGACAGAAGGCATGAGAGATGCCTACCAGCATGAGGCAAATTTACCTCTGGATTGCTACAGTACAAACTTTTTCAAGTATGCGCCTGGAGAAACCAGATTCAGATGTGACGGTTTGATTCCTGCTCGTAGTCCAACAGTTTGTCACATGAAACATTTCAGCTTTATCTTCATACCATCACATCTCCACTGGTTCTGGAAAGTAATTGAACTCTTGGAGCAAGAAAGGGGAAAAAAAAACCAAACAAACCCTCTTTTAGTTACCAAAAGGACCTAACATTGTAGATCTAGTTGACCTTCTCAGACGGGAATAATTGCAAGTATTCTTACATGTATCTAAGAAGCTTTGAGATTTAAAAGTACTTGATATCAAAACCAGTCCATGCATAAAGCTACATCCTGGTATCTGGATGGACTCAGCTTGAATACTATGTATTATGTGCAACTGAAAACTCTGAGCTGAGTTTTGAAGACCCGTGCAGGGTAATTTAGTGCCCCATAGCTGAATACAAGTGTAAATAGTCTCTGAGCCCTTTAATTTCAGGGTCACTAAAGCTTATCAGAAAGACAGTCACTAGAAAAGAACAAACCCTATTTCCTGAATTAAGAATTTGTAAGACAATTTATCAGCAAGAGTGATTCTAAATAGAGTAGTTTACCCTAAGGAAAGAACTACTGGAAATCAGCTATTTGGATATGGAACAACAGCTGTTGTGACTTACAAATGTTACTTCTCTGAACAGCTCTTTTTTATCTCCATAATTGCTTAATTCTCATCCCTTTGTACTTCTCTTCAGAAGTCTATTCCCTACAGGACAACAGAATTGATAACTGGTTTTGAGAAAAGTTAATTTATTTTATGATTGTAGGTATAGTTTATCATTCAACATAATAAAAATTATGTGAACAGCAAAACACTGGTTATTAACCCAGCAGTCAAAATCACGTATATAATGATTACATAAAATCCAGGAGTTACACTTCCATTTGTTATTGATAGAATAATTATAACCACTTCTGTAACTTGGAAAAAGGGCTGTTCTTTTTTTTAATAACTTTTATTATTTATAAACAAAATCCTGAGATTAATTAACGTGAAGGAAACAGGCCTATGCCTCTTCAAGTCACCCTTCCCAACAACAAAACAATTATCCCAAATTGCCTTGAATCATCATTCATAAATTGATAAAAAATCAGCCTTTAGAGGTCAAAAAAGATACTGAGTTTGGTTGCAAACCTTGTAGAAAGAGCACAGCTGATGGGTGAAGCTCCCTGTGTGTTTTTCAGAAGTTGCTTCAAAAAGGCCAATGTATTTTGTTACTCAGGTAACAAGCCTATGGAAAAATGCAATTCTTTTCTTAAATTTATGAAATTTGAATAGAAAGAGTCCAAATGACCTTGAATGCCAACATACATTTACTTCGAAACATGCAGCGCCAGTCCTCTTGTCTATAACAAACTGCAGCGTGCAGATTGTGCTGCCTAGTTGAGGACTGCGCAAAATAACTGTTTATTGAAAAGACTGCATCTAATTCTTAAGGTTGGGAAGAAAGCATTATATTTCCTACCAAAAATAAGTTACTATTCAACTATTCTAGTTTATTCCTGTTAAACAGTATCTTCCCTTTTTATGTTTACATTCAATTTAATGGTACCACTCAAAGAAGAAGATACTCGGTAGCATGGGTAGAGTAATAAGTATTTCTGTAAGCCCTTTGACATTTCCTTTGCCTCTGCAAAACTACTATATCATTTCCATAGTTCACTGTTATATAGCAGTCACATTCATTGTTAAGAAATGCTAGTCTCACACATAACGACTTCATGTTTTTGACTTCTCTGCCTAAAAGCCAGATGTTAACCATTTTCATGCAGTTCTTAAGTGATGGTAAAACACCAGAATAGTATCTCAGACGTGTAGAAATACAACTACCCCTTTGCTGTAGAAAACAGGACAAGAGAACAGAAATTCAAATAAATTACAGAGAGACTTTTTAAATATAAACCCCGTGACATTAGCTATACTTCTTTAAAAACATTTTAAAATGCTCACCGCACAAAATACCTTTTCTGAGTTGTAAATTTAAAAGTCTTCTGTCCACAGAAAGCATAGGCCATTTGGCATGCTTAATGTACACCTGATTCTCACACTCATTCAGGATAAAAAATTAAGGTCGAAACAGCTGGAATTACTTCCTCCTTCACTGTGTAGGAGGAAACCTGGGTGTGGAGAGAGCTGCCTTCTGGCTGACTGCATCGATAGGCTTTCAAGCCCTATCAGCTTTACGAAGTCAGTAGTGATGCTGTTGGTGGGTCTGTCTTGGAGGAAGGTGAACAACTCCAGAGTGGTTTTCACAGTCCTCGGCTGAACGTGCTTGTCACCCTAAGCGTGATGCACTGGTTGAGCAGTTTGTCGGAAATTCACAGCCTTAGGCTGCACGTGGTGTCAAAAGGGCCTGCCTTAACAACAAGGTCTTCTGTTAATACCTGCAAATTTGGAATAACTAGAGTCACTCCAGAGCAGTGAGCTAACACATGTTTCTCCTTAGCAAATGATGTTTGGGGCATGGACATTTAGAACAGACAAATCTTTAGCCCCTGAATGCTTGTCCTTGCCTGACAGGCAGGAGCGGTCAACCAGAAAATCTTGGCTCTCTCCGCTTGCAGATCTGTTCGAGCCCTCTCCTGAGAGACCGAGTCAAGCACAGCAGGGCTTGCCCTTGGATTTAGACATCAGGGAATACACTCATAAATAATAGATTCAAATGTTAATTAAAAAAATCTGCCACTGTCCCCAGCCATGCAGAAAGTGCACTTTGCCTGCGACAAAGAAAATCCATCCATTGCCATAAAGACATGGGATAATGTATTTCATCCGTCCTGCCTGCTCTTAGAGTCCAGCCACCTTAGCACTGCTCGGTGTTATTGAAGAAGACATGCGGCAGAATAGCCATAACAATAAAGTATTTTAATCTACCCTCAGGTCTGTAGGAGGACACACTTTATCTCAAGTAATAGATAACTGCTTCTGAAATAAATATTGTGGTATGACTGCGAGCAGGTGTTTCAGTCTTCTGTGCTGACTACTATGTGCCAGGCTATTCCTCTGCATACCAGGATGGCTCGATGCTGGGAGGGCTGTCTCTTTTTTAACCAAATAATG